ACTTACACACATACATTTAATTTTGATAGATTCGGGTCACGCGGAAGCTCCAATTTTTGTGCCATTTATGCACCAATGCCATAGCAAAATATTAATTTACTTGTAGGTAGTTAGTAACTTGGGATGAAAAGTTAATCCCGTATCGGTACATCCATTAATAACATATTTATATTCTTATATCATAGGCACGGATTCATCAAGTTCGTCTCCATATCGATCATATTCAATGAAAAGGTATAACTATAATACACAAACACACATGTATGACAGTTATATATACATACTATATGGGAAAAGGTATGTACATACATAAAAATGTATGATTGTAGTTTTAGACTTGTGCTATTTATCCCAATCCTTTGGGCGCACAATCAAAATCTCTCTCAACATGATATATGATATATACGAGTTTAACCAACATCTCTTTAATAGTTGCTTGAGTTCATGATCTAATTAGTCAGATAACGATCGCTCTCTTCTATTTCTGGGCGGATATGCTAACGCTTATGCTAGCTCTAATTACTTACCATACAATTTAATTTGCTTAGGATTATAGATATAGGTATATCGTACAAGTGTGCATAGTATCTAGCGGTGAAATTATGACACTGTATTGTTTAATTACATAAAGAACACATATTACACCGATTGATTTGATTGTATACATACATACACACACATAACCATGCATTCATAATTTTATATGTACTTATGAATTTATTAAAAATATGTAAATAAATAAATACGAGTGTGTGTGTGTACTTTAAAAGTACTTAATATCTCTCTTAATATCTCTTTATATAAAACTGTCCTGACTGACTGACTGACTGATTGGTGATCAACGCACAGCCCAAACCGTAAGAGCTAGGAATTTTCACTGTAGCTATCTTATGTGATAAAGGTGTACGTTAAGACGGGGTTTCGGGAAATTCCACTCGCTAGTATGGAAAAATCGCGAAAAAACGTTTGTATGAAACTTTTTTGTTTACCATCCGATTGGCCTCAATCTCAATTTCAAAGTTCTTTGTTCAAATTAATTTGAGGGGTGTTTAACACTTTTCCAAAAATGTATTCCTCCTTGGTGGAAATGGGGGTCAGAGATTTGGTGGGTGACTTTTCGCGCTCAAATTCATTTTCAAAGCTCCATATGAAAAATAATTTGATACGGTAGAAATGCGATTTAAAGATTTTTTGGGCGAAGTTTTAAGAGCTTAATGAATACGTGTTTCAGCAATTTAGAAAATTCCACCCACAACAGTGGTTAATTAGCGAAAAACGTTGGTATGAAACTATTTTCTTAACCATCGGACCGGCCTTAAACTTATTTTCAAAGATCATTGCTAAAATGCATTAGAAGGGTGTTTCACACTTTTTGAAAAATCCAACCCTCGGTGGAAGTCGGAGTCAAGGATTTGGTGGGTAGCCTTTTGCCCTCAAATTCATTTGCATGGATCTACATAAAAAATCATTTGAGATGTGTTTCACATTTTTTGCAAAATCTAAGCTCCTTCGGTGGAAAGTGGATTTTAAAGGACTTTTTTTGAGAATTTTAAGCTGAGTCTGATTTGCATCAAACTTATTTTAAAAGCTCTATATAAGAATATAATGAATACGTGTTACAGCGAAAAGGGAAATTCCACTCGAAAAAGTGGTAAATTGACGGAAAACTTTTGTATGAGAGTAGTTTGTTTACGATCCGCTCAGTTTCAAAATCATTTTCAATGCTATTCGAGAACATTGTTTTTATAACATAAGTGCCATGGGCAATGCCGGGATATACCCGCTAGTCTTAATATAAATGTAGATACCTTTTAATAATTATTGCGTCAATGACTAGGGATAAATAGAATACAATATGAAATGAGGTTGTGATTAATTAATTGACATTCGACTTCCCAACTCTACTAAAAACAATACAGTGTCATATACATTTCAAACAAACATATTGTCAGTCATAATCAAAGTGACCATGGCAGAAAACCAAATTTTATACAAACTTCGTTTCGCACCGCCAAAAAAAATTGTAAATTCTCCTTAGTTATGTGGCCTAGGTTGATTTGATTTTCCTTTATGGTTTATGAACCCTGTAAATCATTAATATAGCCCAAGATGGATTCCATAATGCTTATGCATATAATTGTAGATGCATTTATGCATCTTCTACGACTTTTTAGATTAAAATCTGATTAAAAATAAGAAGTATTTAAATGACGGGCTCGAATCGGCGCGGTTCAACACCACTTTGCAGCCTTTCTAGTCCCTACCATCCATACATACATTTATATTTAAACAGTTATATTTGTAAATATATATTTGCACCGTAAATAAGACTTTGATATTAAGTTGGCAAAGGCAGCACCAGCAAAGCTTAAAGTTTTTAATAAAACCTATGCCAATATTATGTCTAGGTGTCCAAATGGAGTCAATTTGATGTTCGATCTTTATGAAATTTAACGCTTAAATGTGTGTATATACCAACTCACAATGGTTACAATGATATTTTGTCTTGAAAATGAATAGGATATGGACAAAAAATATAAACCTGCCCCTAAGCTCCTAGGTTAAGCAAATCGGAGGAAAATCGGAGGAAAAATAAGACGGACACGGCTTTTGCATAAAATAACATACCAATGAGGAGTAAACAAAACTAGAAAATTAATATATTTTTATCGGAAACTCTTGATTTTTTCTTCGATGAGTGAAGTGAGGAAGCCTGTGTTTCAGTGCCCCTAAGAACGTCAAAGTCTCACAAATACGGTTTACTTAATTAATTATCTCGTAAGTAAAGTGTAGTAGAAATGTAATAGAAGTTTTCAAAGTGTTCATAATGTGCGGCAAACGGTGTATTGTGTTTATGGTACTATATATGGATCTGTTCCCCTAGCTATATATTTTATTTATTAAAAAAGCGGTTAAATTCAAATTTAGCCCAGGACATGCATATATCCAAGCATGTGTATTTATATAACTTAAATGTGCATTAAAATTAGTTACATGATGTGCAATAAATTTTAAAATATTTTAATGTTTGAAACAGCTTTGCATCTACTATATTTGTTATTCTTGAAAATGAAAGGCTCGAACTCGCAATAGACCGCATTACTTGCTGTTGACTCTACTCAACAGCCAGACCAGCAACAAACAAGTAAGAGGTTCTAGTCGGGAGCTCCCGACTAGGGGATACCCTAAACCTTCTTCTTCCAACATCCAATGCATAAATATAGTCTATTTTAGAAGCTATATGTCAAGTTTGGTGACTCTAGCTCTTATTATTTACCAAAATTCCCCAAGTCAGGATATCGATATCGATTTTTATCGATTGCTTGGAAACTGTGTAAGTTATCGATTATCAAAAGCAAACTCGGCCTGCGCAGGCACTAGGAGCACCTACACTTTCGAGTCTCTAGCACTTATAGGTTGCGTTCATGGATTTGGACAGACGGAATATATATACTTTATGGGGTCGGAGATGCTTCCTTCTGCTTGTTACATACATTTGGATTTTGCACAAATGCGATATACCCTTGTACCCATTTTTAATGGATTCCGGGTATAAAAAGGTATTAGTAATATTACATTGAAATTACTTTTAGGTGCCCAATATATCCTTGGTTTAACCATACCATTAATATAAACCTAGTGAACCTATAGTGTCAAATCCCAACAACATTTACCTTAAACATTATCCACAATTAAATTAAGATCTTAAAATCCCCAGTGCACTGGGCCCGGCCGTTGGCTTACGTTTTCAAATAAAAATTTAGCTAAAACACCAGACACAGAAAAATGTATTAAAAATAAAAAATGAGATCCTATTAAACAATCAGTCTAAAGCAGGTTTAAATTAACATAACACTGCTGGTGCTATGAGGGAGCGTGAGATTTTAAATGAAATTTTGCAAAAATACCAGGCGACCAGCAAGGTCCAGCAGGTAGACGAATTAATAATGTTAATGTTATGAATGAAAAATAGCATTGCATACCCACAAGGTGCAATAAAAGCATGCATAATTCTGGATCGTTTCCGTGCTCATTTTGCAGCGATTCGGCTCTTTAGGTTCACCAGGACTAAATCATTGGTATGGTATGACCAGGGATATGTGGGTCTACTAGGTACCGTTGATGGGTAGGGGGTGGTTGGACGGATGCTGAAAGAAAAAGCAATTATATTTTTAGACTATTTCGGTCATTTAGGCTCTATAGGACGTTATCTTTGGTAGCGTAAAACCAAGGATAAATGGGTAATCTAAGAAACATTGGTTTGTTTGTATTTCATATGATTTCAGGTATGTTTATATTTTGACAATTTTTTGATAGGCTATTTTTATTATTACAATAGAAAAAATAAGTATTTGTAATTATTATGCACGTGAATCGTATTTAACAAATATATGGTTAGTGAAAATTAAATTTATGCAGGTATTTATTTACAAACAAGTAAGAGTTTTTAGTCGGGAGCTCCCGACTAGCGGATACCCTGAACCCTCTTCCTTCAACATCAAATGCATATATATATATTTTATTTTAGAAGCTATATTTCAAGTTTGGTGACTCTAGCTCTTATTATTTACCAAAATTGCCAAAAAAAACAGGATATCGATATCGATTTTTATCGATTGCTTGGAAATTGAGTAAGTTATCGATTATCGGAAGGTAGGAGCACCTACATCTAAAATTTCTCTAGCTCTTATAGGTTCTCAGATCCTTGCGTTCATACATACGGACAGACGGACGGACGGACGGACAGACAGATGGACATGGCTAAATCGACTCGTCTATTGATGCTGATTAAGAATATATATACTTTATGGGGTCGAAGATGCTTCCTTTTGCCTGTTACATATATTTGGATTTCGCACAAATACAATATACCCTTATACCCAATTTTTAATGGGTTCAGGGTATAAAAGGGAGTGTGCTTAAAAAACAAATTACATTTAAGATGCACCGATGATAATAGAGTGTATCCTTTGGTTCTTTTGGGAAGCTAAATTTGTAAATTTTTTTTTGTAATACACATGTACGTTATTGGGGTGTGTATGCTTAAAGGGATATAAAGTTATACATTATCAACTTTTTACACAACTGGCGTTTACCGCATAAATATAGGTATCAAATAATATGATAGATGAACTTAGATAAATATTAACATGTTTTTCTTTTATTTTGTTGTACTGTATATGTTTTTTTTTAAATATGTATATGTTAGATAGGGATAATGCTACTAAATGTATAACTTCTTATTAATAATCGAGTAAACTCATGTATTTAGAAAGTACATATGGGTTTTATCTGAGAGTTTGCGAAGGTTCGAGTATTTAAGTACCCATTGTCGGTTCCTGACGAATTTCTGATTTTAGTTTAACAAATTCCTTAGCGACTTCGTCGTTATTGCGCTGCGATAGTATTCTTAGAATTGTCCAACCAGTCTCGTCCATTTCGATGCGGCGCTGTAAAGGTAACCAACATGCGACCGATCCCTGTTATAAAGAAACATTTTTAAATTGTGCATAGAGACATATTTAAATACCATATTCAAGTGACCTTTTCAGATATATCCTTTAAAGGTATAACTGCAACTCCCACAAGTCGATCGTCTCGGGCGAAACAATAGTCCTTAACGCAGATGTGTAGTTCAAAGAAATCTAGTTGCTCCTCATTACCAATGGCGCTAAAATATAAAGAACAATATATTATATGCATATACCTTTGTAACAACAAAAATTAATCTACTCACAAGCTAAACGATTCGTTGTACTTGGGAGACCAGTTATTTGATTTTGATTTAGTCGCAAATTTTCTCTTTTTATCCTGAAGGTGCGGTCCGATTAGATTGATCTCCACAAATGGTCTGAACATTCCAGATGGTATTTGCCATTTCAGATCATTGGCAGCCACGACTGAAATAATAGATACAAATATAAATATTTGATAATAAAAAAGTAACAGTCGCACGCAAAGGAAAGTAAAAACTAAAGATATAAGATGATATGGTTTACCTTTAACGTTGACTTTGTGCTCTCCCGTGCCAGGATGTGAAAATAAGTCTATTTGCACTGAGATTTCACCAACGCTCTCTTCGGCGTTTTCAGGGTCAACTTATGATGTAAAAAAATTGCATTTAATATACTCTTTGACCTCAACAGTGGCTGGACTTACCTTCGTGCACTTGACTCGAAATGAAGGTTTTAATAAGGGTATCTGTCATTTGTGTATACAAGCTAAGTGCATACCTCAAACTCTGCAACTCCGATGACTTTTCTAGAAACGTCTTTTTCAGTCCATTACCACCGGCATGGAAGTATTGTTTTATTGTATCTAAGGCAACATCTAGCACGGCACATTGTTTGGGGGATAGGTTTTTTTCAACTTCTTTTGATATGTCCATAACACCGCTAAGAGCACTTTTAACGTCCTGTTTTCCAGCCATATGCGACTTGAACAAGCGGCCCATGTCTTCTATTTTTGCATTTGAAGCCAAATTCTTTGCATTATCAGTAAGATGTTTGAACATCATCTATATAGAAATATAATCGAATTAAATATAATTTGTCTTTGTAACACATTTTCAACCTACAGTTTTGTCAGTCATTGGAGGCAGGACAATTGTTTTTTCCAAAATTCGCATAACTATTTTCCAAAGTTCTTTAAGCAAACGTTTCAGCACTGTCTTTTCACAGGACTGGGCATACAAAGTTAAGGAACCATCAAGTAAGTCCATTAACGGTCTTAGCACATCGTCGGCTTCAACGGCCACCGCATTCCTTTGCACCGCCTGATTTCCGGCTGTTAGGGTTCCGCCACCTCCCTTGATCGAAAGCAGCATGTCACCAAGCTCTCGCACTGACTGAGTTATACGTGGTTCCAAGCTATGGAAGATTGAATTAAGTTATTCAAACAGCTAAAATAGCAAAAAAAAAAAAGGTAAGGCAGTCAACCTTATAGCAAATTGTGAAGCTAAATCGTCCAGAGCTGAGTTAAGGTTCTGCTGAAGTTCTTTAAGGATATTGGCTGCGTCCTCCTCTAGCTTATCACCTCCCATTGACTCAAACATTTTCTCCAATTGAACTCTTAGCTGCTGTATGTTGTTCATTAAAATACAGGCCTATGATAAGGTGTGAGGTGAATAAAAGACATATATATTTATATATAAATCAATTTACGTATATGTGCAATGACCAAACATTCGTTACAATGGCCAGCAAAATGCTTATCTGCAGAGTTTACTGTCCAGCAAGACCATCTAGTCGATAGTAATGTACTTACAATTCGTTCGTCCCTCAGATGCTCTGGAAACTCCATTTTCACAATATCAGCATAGGCAATTAGCACTTTTACGATTGTTTTAGCAAAACGCCTCATGTAACGTTTCCAAATTTCTGGATCTGGACACTCGAGCTTGCTAACAACATCGAAACATTGCGTCAGTTGTGTGAAAACGTCGACTACAGAATTCGAGAACAAAGCATGTTCACTGCTTTTTTGAAACTGATTGGATAAAATGAAAATGGAATAGGAGACTCATAAGAGTACATTTTGGATCGGTAATATCGTAAACTCACGAAGATTATAATAGAACTTGGAAAAATAAGAAAAAAAAAACATATGAAGATTAAAAATGCATACATAGATATAGAATGTAACATAGATAAGACCGCCCCTCCATTTTACAACATTCTTAGTAGAACTTATAATAATGAGCTGAAATGTTTTTTTCTTGACTTCTATAAGAGACATTTTCCAACTCGTAGATGTTATTTTATAGGCTTCATTCTCATTTTTAAGTGTTTTTTCTATGTTAAATAATTTGAAATAGAACGAATTATTTGGAAATGGAAATGGGTGAAAAGTTATATATTTCAATTTGAAGTAAAAAACTGCCACGAGTAAAGCCATTACGACCTTCATAATATTTCTTACATAATTGCAAGACCTTAAATATAATTCTACTACTTAGGATATTCACTCTTCGGAATGCCGAATGCACTTTGCCGAATAAACAAGATAAGGTCAGCTTACCCCGTCCTTTTTGTCACGGTTAAACGCACCATGAAGATATTCTAACGACACATCATCGTTCTCATTCAACCATTGCATTACGAAAGGCTCAAACCAGGCTGGGTACTCAGGTACAGCTCCTTTATATGGTGGCACCTCTTTCACATAATTACTGTATAGCCATTTAACACGAAAATGCAAATTCATATATGCAGATGACTTGCAAAGTCGATGCTGCTCGTGCTCTTCAAGCGCGTACTTCATGTCTACGGCAAAAAGACCCCACATAGTAGCAGCTGATAGCTAGGAACCAATAAATATTATTAATAGCAAATTGAGCAAATTACTACGACTAATAATTCATGATAAAATCAACGAGCTTTTTCTTTACAACACGCATCGATTTAAGCAACAAACCTGTCCAATATTCAGTTCCTGGGGGAATTGATTGAGCACTGTTCCATAACTGTTTTTGTCTTCATCAATAACAGAAACAATTAATGCAATAAGCTTGTGCCAGAAGTCTACACTGTCTAGTTTTGGGCCATGGTCATCGGTATCACGTTTCGTCTCGTTTGGATCCACCTGAGAAGATTTTTAAGCCGGTGGCAAAATTATCGAACAAGATCTTACCTGAAACTCCCTGTTGTAGAGCTCATAACAATTTTCAAAAAGGAATTGATAGGTGGATCTAAGACAAGCTTTTACGCAATCCTTGACAACTGTACTAGCTCTTGGTGGACTAGACAGCTCTTGAACCTGTTGAATTATAACTTCTTCAAATTAGAATTTCAAACTGAACATATAGTAGGTTTACTACACACCTTCATACGGAAAAATGTTATACTAGTCAGGAGGTCAACTGTCGACTTGAGATCCATAAGTTTTTCTTGACTAGAAGCGGGAAAGTTATTTCTATACATTGAGAGATCGATCCTCAGCGAGTTATGCAGCTGATCTAGCAATTTCACAAATTTTTCCTTCTGCAAATAGAAATTTTATTGTATGAGAAAATTGTAAAAGGTTAGAAAAAAAAAATTATATTATAAGATAACAAGAATACGTACCCCAAAGTTACTCGCTGCAAAGCGATCACTGGCCGAAACAGCTGAAGATGCAGTTGTGTGTGCATAATATGCATTAATATTCGCCAATAAGGTGCTCATCACGGCCGGCACTCCTGGGCATAGATACTTTGCGGAGAGACAATGGAAATGTGTCATTGCTTGATATATATTTTCGATGCCATAACGCATTGAGAATTCATCAACGATTTCTTCAGGAATTTCATCAAAGTACAGCTTCCATGCGTCATCGCCTTTTTGTATGGGTAGCTTGACCTAACCGTGTTTATACATATAAGTTAAGCCAATATTTTGTATTAGACGCTACACGATCTCACAAAAGACAATCGCTTACCATTCCGCTATTCTCTTCACATAAGTAATGAAAGAGGTTCTCATGCAGGCAGGTATACTGTACATGGTAGGGTGCCACCTTCTCCTCGCCCTTTATCTCAACGGAAATGTGTAGTCGAATAGCACCTGACACAGCCGACTTATCGGTACGCTTCTCCAAATTGTACCACACGTCCATTTCTCCGGACAGCGTTCGAACTTCAATTATGGTTTGTCCTAGGAAGTCATCTGATTCACGCGTCAGCTTTTGTCGCAGTTTTGACTTAAGATCGTTGTCCTCATCCCACACACGAACTTTGATACGATCTGAAGAGTTGTGGCATTCGCTGCACATCCCATGAATTATATTTATATGCATACGCATATGTGTATATGTATATATATATATATGTATATGTATATATATATATATATATATATATATATATATATATATATATATATATATATATATATATATATATATATATATATAATAATACTTAAAAGTTCGTTTACAACATCAAAGGCATGTGTGCATTAAAGATTAGCTTCAGACATTAGACATTAACATGCATGGAGAAAAACTCGAAACCAATTCCCAGAGCACTATATTCATAAAGTCAATTACTAAATTCTGTGCAAGCGATTTATGAAATACATGGAAATAATCGGGTGTTAAAAAAAAATAAAAACAATATTTGGGAGACATTGCTTATTTAACTGCTTATTATTTCCAATTATAATATGCATTTCGGAGTTTCGCAATTTTTGCATTGAAAGCACTAATGCAAATTCCTTCGTTCATTATTTTTATAGCCCTGCCTAGTGTATTATTATTTTGACAGATGTAAAGATGATTCCAAAAATCATTGAAATTTAATATCTTATGTATTTTTATCACCAGAGAGAATACTTACAAGTTTATTTGGTAAAAATCTGCATAGCTCACAAAATCATTAAGAATATCAAATAACAACATGATATATATTTACATATTATACGTTTATGAAAACGGTTACAGTTAGCAAAGTATTTTGATAACCACTATACGTACATTCTTATGAACCACAAGGATGTTGTTAGTTATTTATATTATATATCAATATATAAACAACAAAACATGTGGAATTGAGGGAAAAATATTTACTAATACAAACATATATTTAAGAACTCACCGTAGCACTTAAAACTTTGCAAAAACTATTAGAAGCAGAAAAGCCTAATCGATTCCACAGAGCCTTAATACCCGGTACCAAAGACAGTATAAACATTGTTTATATTGTCTTTGCGTGTACCAATGCAAAATATTTAATGCAATTAAAAATCTTCAGAGATACACAAAGCTACAATATGATATTCCTGAATGTTAAACGTATACATTTCCTCGATACCCTTCTCATTTAATAAAAATTAATAAAGTATCATACATATGTCGTAGAAGCGGTTGTAAATTAATTTATTGTATCAAATGACTGTTTTTCAAGGTATCTTCACCAATTAGCAACTACGAGCTTAATAATTCTCTTTACAAAGATGCTTTATCATCGATGTGCCGAAGATATCCATTCTATCTAGGGTAATCACATCTCAGAGATTATAAAAGCTGGACACAGACATATACCCCTTTTTTAATAGGTTTGGGTACATTCCCTCATTCTTTAATTTATGAAAACCATATAGAAGTGTTTTCTTTCGGTATTTAATATATATATCAAAGCATAAAACAGAAGAACCACGGCCGCTGTGAAATGCACAGCGCTCAAGCACAGATTTAACCTCTATGTGTTCGCTGTTACGAATTTATGGATCCTATTTATGTATGCATGCATGTATTATAATAAGGCAGGATATCCTACCTATCCAATTAAACCAAAAGATCAAGAGTGTAACTAAAATTTGATGGCTATCAAGAGAGGCAAAAAGTTGAAAGAGAAGCACGCCTCAACACACTATGTGTTTAAGCACACATACTGATGCAAAGAAATAGCAAGTAATCGATGGGTCAAGACCAGAGCGATAATTAAATATATTATAAAAGAACAGAGAAAGAGTGCGTGTTATATGTACTATTCGTGTGGGTGTACAAACAGTTGTCAATTGTGGTCTAAAGTGAACGTATAAGTACGTATACGAATTACATACATTCAAATACATATATACAGATAGAACACAAAGAAAGCGGAAGAAGAAACATTGAAAATACTCACAAGTGAAACTTCTCGTTCCACACAGGGTTTAGCTCCTGGGGCATTGTGCGCGTTCGTTTTTTCACCTTGCTAACTTGCACCGTCACATATGGATCACTCGTACCGCTTTTATCCTTCGCTATCAGGCCTTGAGCACAAATCACTGCACAGTTCATCGGATCGGTTGATTATATATTTTTGGCATATTCATTCGTTTCAACCAGAACCCCAAAAAAGTTCAGATGTTGGTAATAATTATTCCGATCGGGTATTGTTATTACCGACGATCGTGATGAGGAAGTAACGTAAGTGTATTGTTTTTGTGGGTATATGTATCATTTTGGGTTTGTGGATTATGTTCAAGTTTATCGAGATTGGTGTGTTTTTAGGTTTTTATTGGGGTTTGAAACGAATAAAACCGTTTTGATATTTGTTTGTTATTTTAATAAACGTTTCCAATTGTACATTTTTATTATTATTATTATTTTTTTGTTTGAAGAATTGATAAGTTGTTGTTCAGTTTTGTTTATCAAGGAAGAAAGAAGAAGAAAAAAACGGAAGTTGGTTTTTTATTAAATGACCTTCTTTAAACATCTAGCAATAAAAATGTTCAGGCAGTCGCATTGACTGATACTGCCCAATATCACTTTTATTACGTGGTAAGCTAAAAAAATGCAACGGCACAAACTCTTTGTGAAACTCTTTTTATTTTTATGTACAAACAGATTTACGCATTAACAACAAAGTGGACAACTAACAAATTAAAGAATAAACAACAAAAAACCAAAATTATCAGAGATAGTGAAAACGTGCGTTTGACACATATGCACGTACATACATACGTACGTATGCTGTGCACAGAAGAAATCTGATAACAGAACTTAAAAATTTATTCTCGGACCTACAAAGTGCAGTCTCTGCAACAAAAAGGTTCATATAATATTCTAAACGTGCAATATGAATATTCATACATACATATGTATACGACTGAGCTGTTTTTTGATCACAAGTTGATAGATCAATTGAAGAATATCGAATGTGATAGATTACAGTACATATTGCTTAGTGTTTTTTGTTTGTTAGAAAGGTAAAGGCAGGATCGAGCAGGCTTGGGTTGACATTGTGCACGTTGTATGTGTTATAGGGTGTTCTGGTTGGCGGTTGCATAAGCAAACAGTTAGGTACTATGTACATCATAGTTAAGGACAGCTCCATTGCAAAGACCAAAGATTAAGTTACAAAGCATATTCAAACCTTGGGTTTAATTATTCTTTCATATTCTGCTGTTAAATTTATAAAATCTCTATACAAAATAATTATGAACGCTCTAATCGAGTGTGCTCGACTGCAAAATCCCTTTCATTTCGCCTTTTGAAGTCTTCAATAAGAATTCACGAAGTATAATGCAGAAACTTATACAGATGACATTCAAATGTGTGTATATAGCACAAATTGAAGGCTTTTTTTCTAGCGTTTGTAGTTTTCGAGGGCGTAGTGTTCATTCAGACATCTTTAAACCGACTCAGCTCGTCGATCTAATCAAGAATCAAGAATATTTGCACAAAACCAATATACCCTTTTTTGTCCATTTTAATGGGTACAAGATATAACAGAGATTTTGAAGCTATCGCATCCCATTTCCACAAGGATTCACTAAAAATTAAATTGAAAGCAAATTTCATCAATTTCCTAGAATATATACCAGGTCTCACAAATCCAAACGCTTTTGTAATCTAATTAAATATGTGTACATTATCATCAACTAATATATATTTTTCAATGAGAATTTGCGTATATACTGGGTAACCAAAAAAAAACGGCTGCTTTAATTAATATAAACAGAGAAGTATATTGCATATTAGAGTGTCTTTAGAAAGTGTTTCCTTAATGTTAAAGTCAGAAGTAGAGGGTAAACGGGAGTAAAGTAAGAGACTGAGCTAAGAACAGTTTAGTAGTAGAGAAGAATGAGTAATATCCTTAGTTGAAATCAAAGGTGAAACATAAAAGTATTATGAAATTAAGGGTAAAAGAATGCTGTGTCATACACTGCTTAACTTGTTGGTTAATTGTGCAACTAAATTGATTTTTTAGGCTCAACTGTCACACAGAATGTATAAACTAAAGGGCAGTCATTTTATGGATCCATAGACCAACACACATAAAATATATTTGAATGACTGGCATGCATATACTGAATTAACGCAAACTTTAGACCTGCTTTAGCAAAAGTTGTTCGTTATTTAGAAACTATTTGTTTGCATACTTTAGATGCGTAGGATAGTATTTAACAGGTGGAAGCGTCAGAGTTGGGTATTGCCACAAATCTAAAACTTTGCTTCATTAATGTTCCACCCTTCCCAAACTTCACGCTCAATAAACAGACGCATAGACTCTGCGCTTCTCCAACCGGATTAATTGAATTAAGAGTATTAAACCTAATTACTAAGTTTAACAGCTCAATTTCCACAAAATATTATTATGTCTGTTTTAAGAACTGACCAATTTAAATTTAAATATACCATCAATCAATCGTCTTTCCTGATTACGCTTATTGGTAGAATATATGTATATTGTTAAGTTTTATGCGAGAAAAGTTGGGTTATAGAAATCGCATATGGTTATAGATGTATGTCACATATCCTTCTATGTGGTGGCAGTTAAGAGCTCGCATTTGTCAAAGTAGATTTATACGAAACTATGAAAGAAACATCTGAAAGGGATGCATAAAAACCATTCGAAATCAAATGAAAGCATTTCTCTTTTTCAGTATTGTAGTCCGCTTTGAAAATATTATTTATTTGGATTAATAATGGTGATATGTTTGTATCAATATCAAAAAGCAAATAAAAAAATTTGTTTTTATGATTTTTAAAAATATTTTCATTTAAAATGTGTATAATGAATTATATACAATAAAGATATTTATAAGGTATGAAATCTATTTAGATATATAAGTAAGTGTTTTACGCCCCTTTAAATTTAACTTTGCTGCAGAGGAGGATATATGAAAGTAAATAGTGCAGAGTATTCATTTTCAAAAAATATATAAAAGGTTTACTACTGGTTTATAGAGTTGAGTTTGCAAAGAATAATTATTATTTTTTTTTAAATCGCTTCTAATAACGAATACTTAGTAATTCTTTATCAGAATTTATATCAAATTTAACCTATGTTTTGTCACCGTTATTGGTGCAACTTAACTTCATTTGTTTAACTTTTATTCAGATCAATTCATTATTGTATGACATGGTTATCAACGATGTTTGGGACTCATGCTGCAAGAGGAAAGCTTGCCTATTTATAGGTATATAATCTGAATAAATAGGGAAGGTTAACTGTAATGTAGCAACTAAACCATTGTAATTTAACCTTGTTAACTTTGCAATGGTGGAGGATATTGGAGATAATATTAAAGTGGATCCGTATTGGAATATGAAACCGCTCAAAAAGTACTAACAATTAAATTAAGGCATATATATATATAGTCGATAGCACTCGACACGAAATTACTCTGTACCCAGTTCAATAATATTACATTTGACTCTAGTTTCTTGACAAGTTTCTACGTAAACTAATAGATCAATATAATTATTAGCAGAAATATATGGTATCCATAATATTAGTCTCTAAAATGGTAAAAAGTGAGTTATTTAACATTTAAAGCAAATATTATCTTGCAAAGCATGTATAGTTTGCTAGCTAGGCGATCAGAAATGGTTCATAGAATACAGTCAATCTGTTAAGTCTATTTCCACACCCTGATTAATACCCTGCAATTTATTGTCCGTTTTTTTTGGGTACAGAGTATGTAAAATTGTATATAAATCATAAATAATCGCAAATACCAAATGGTATTGGCCGTGTACCTGTAATTGTTAATTTGCATGACCATTTAGATGTTCCCTCAACAGTTGCGTGCTCAGCCTGTTCTAATGAATCTATGTGTGTATCTGGATCCACCCCGAATGTCATCCTTGAATTGAATTGATATGCATATATGTATGATAAGAACTATATATATTGCAACCATTCAATAATTTAGCACTAACAATGTCTTATTTTCGATTTAATTTGGGCTAGGCTGGTGCGCTATAAGTCATCCATAGTCTATTTAGATATAGTCTATAAGTATGAACGGACAAAAACCAAGTGATAGCGATTACAAAAAATAACGAAATAACGAAAATAACGAAATAAATTTCAATGCAGTTACCAAAGCACCACAACATGAATGGTACCTTTGTTGTCATTTAAAAATGCGTCCACTACTATAATAGACTGAGAGTTCTCTGAATTCTCAGGAATCTAATCTCTTAACTCAGAAACTTTTTAGGTTTACATAATGTGAAAGATTCCAGGCCAAAGAATTGTTTTTTTTTTGTTTTTTTTTTATGATCTTATGTAAGACCTGTTTCGGGGGAAAGTCCATTGTCCTGAGTTATCCTTTTAAAGTTGTCTTCAAGGTATTCTTATACTATATATTTATGTACAGTATACGCATTAATAATTACTTATACTATCAATAAAGTAATGTAATAGATATAGATATCTTTGATTAACAAATGCTATGACTGACGGAAGCACCATTAAGAAGTAAAACATATTTAAGTATATGGTGTGTATACTTCACAAAAATACATATGTTATACAAAGTGGACTTGGGCAACTTCGCTTGAACAAAATTGATCGATATGAATATTGATCCCACTTCTCTACTCTTATTCTGTGCAACCCTTATTCTTAGCGCGATATGTCAACAAACACATCGTATAACCTTGTTCCAATCACAAAAAATTGCTTAAATTGGATCGTGGAAAGAGTCTATCAAATATTACTTTATGTAGCTTTGCAGGCTGTTGTGAATACCTCAATAGTAATCTTCTTATCTTATTATCATCACTTGTGTGCCATGTTTTTACTCTTGCTGAGTGATTGATTAAATACATCTTATGCACTTATACTATGTTTGTATATTATGTGTTGCAATTCGTCTGTATGTGTACAAAGAAGTTTACAAACATTCATACATGCATACATACCATTAATTAATTTATATATATATACATATATATATATATATATATACGGATATATAATTTACGTTATATATATTATACGATCAAAATTGCAAATACATACATTCATATTCACGATTAGTAAGGTTTAATTCAAAATGTCAAATTATGTTCAAGCACGATATGAATATTGATCCCACTTCTCTACTCTTATTCTGTGCAACCCTTATTCTTAGCGCGATATGTCAACAAACACATCGTATAACCTTGTTCCAATCACAAAAAATTGCTTAAATTGGATCGTGGAAAGAGTCTATCAAATATTACTTTATGTAGCTTTGCAGGCTGTTGTGAATACCTCAATAGTAATCTTCTTATCTTATTATCATCACTTGTGTGCCATGTTTTTACTCTTGCTGAGTGATTGATTAAATACATCTTATGCACTTATACTATGTTTGTATATTATGTGTTGCAATTCGTCTGTATGTGTACAAAGAAGTTTACAAACATTCATACATGCATACATACCATTAATTAATTTATATATATATACATATATATATATATATATATATATATATATATATCTATATATATATATATATATATATATATATATAGACGGATATATAATTTACGTTATATATATTATACGATCAAAATTGCAAATACATACATTCATATTCACGATTAGTAAGGTTTAATTCAAAATGTCAAATTATGTTCAAGCACGACATATTCAGTTAGGCACATTTTTGTTAAGTTGCAAACCTGTGATTGCTATCTTCGCCGACCATTTACTGGTTCCATCCAGGACGCTTTGCTTCACAGCCTTCATATGACCAGTATGGCTTTTCTCTTCAATGCTGAATACGGCTCTAAATACACATAGTAGTATGGGCATAGTACAGTATAGAAAGTTAAAGTTTTCGGCTTTGATTGTGTTATATAACGCAGCATTTTACTGTTGCGAAATGGTAACTATTGGTAAAAATAAAGGTATCTGTGCTTGTCCACGCACAATATCGGACTACAGAAATCTAGATATTTTATGAAAGAGAGCCTTAAAATCTCGTCCTTTTCTATATACATCCATAGAACAGTATGAATATCCGCACCAGCCAAATGGGCTTAACCCAAGACATTACCTGATCAATTCAAATATTTCTGGTTTTTCACGTTCCCGTTGCTTCATGCGGTCCTTCATGGCGGTTATGATGGAGTTAGCTTTATCTTCGGCACCATGCTTGGAGCTCTTCTCAGCGGCACCTGTGCAACGCAAACGAAATTGTGCATTTAGGTTAGGAACAGTATCAGCAACACAAACAGAATGAATAGCAGAAAATAACCGAAAACGGAAAAATTATAACAAAATGGTTCATAACTTACGTTGTAGACAGTCGGCGTTTAGTAAATCCTTGCACTTTTCGTGACACTTTACGCCGCACTCGGTGCATCGTACTCCCTGGCGGGCAATGCCCCAAAGTAAGCCCTCGCACTCATAGCAATAAGTTGGGGAGGTGGCCGTCCACAGTACAAAGTTATGTGGGGTGGTTGATGATATTGGGTAGATGAGTGCCTGCAGCGCCTTTTTGTAGACATGCATTTTCTAAATTGATCGAGTATGATAATAAAACAAAAACACAATTATACGTTGCGATCATAGCAGGATAGATGGGAATCCTGCATATCCAGTGGATATGTGTTTATTTGATTAAACTCTCTCACCAATTCTTCATCATTAAGCGTTGCTCGGGGAACTGCCGACGTCAGTCCGGCATTACGTTTCGTGGCTGCCATTGTCTAAGTATTCACAAATCGACAATATTAGAAATGAAAATATTAAAAATAGGAATTTTTATAAGTCGGGAGACATGAGTTAATTGGTACTAAGAAAAACAAAACTAAGTAAGCTTCGTGGAAAGCTTACTGGTTATTGTAATTTAGAACAGAACAAAGAAGACTTATACAAATAAATTCCATTATAGATATAATGCTAAATTCATAATGCAAAAACTGCAAATATAAAAGTGCATGTGAACTATATTCAAATATATAAGTAAATAGTTATGGATCAATATTTTGAAGTGCCCATATAATTCATAAATAAGGGTACATTTATGTTAAGCATTTCATAGGCATGAGAAACATATCAGAGCCTTAATATATATTCTCTATTAATTTCTCATTATTCAAGGGTTTGTGATTCTGTAACTTCAGAAAAATATTTATGCATATATTGCCCTCGATATATATAAATATTCGCTAATTTCAAAATTTTTATGAACTGACGGTTATGTATGATAACAAAGCGTAATAACTTGACTCTGCACAGTATATACTACCATATAGCGTATAATGTAAGATAAATAAAAAAGTTAATACTCTTCAAAGTTAATAGTAAATGATTAAAACAAATTTCGCATGCATATTCCTAAGAAAAAATGATTTAATTTTCTAAGGTTTAGAAAAATTTAATAAAACAAAATTTTTTTAAACTCAACGTTGTTTGCATGGCCTCAAACTACTTTTTGAACGTTGTTCTATATCCTATATAAAAATATCAGAATTTAATTTACTTCCTCTAAGATTTAGGACAACTGTAAAAATATAAACGCTGCGTACTAAATAATTATATGTAAATTACTATTTGAAAAGCAAACGCAAAACTTTGCGAATACGAATTAAAATGGAAAAAAGGTTTAAACATTTTGCATAGAAACATGTGAGGTGAATTTAAAAAATCTTAATTGAAAAATGTGACAATTCGATAATCGTTCTATACCTTGAGCACCTGTAATCCAATAAATCATTTTCGTCGTACAAAAGAAAACAAACGTTTAACATTGTACAAAATGTATGTGTATATTATGTGTGTGCATGTGTGTATGCGTGTATGTGTATGTATATGTGTTTGTGTGTATGTGAATGTGTGTGTATGTGATGGAAAAAAAATAGGACGATTATTGGAGAGTGGAAATTAAGTTAGAAAGGAAATAGATACATACAATAGATACAAGTATATACAGTGAACAATAAAACTTACCAGTTCAGAGACAAGGGGAATAGATTTTCGCCTTGGACGAATGTCGGGCATGCTGTCAATATTACTGTAGAACGGATTATCACCCGGATGGCCATTGGATCGCAAACTAACATCACCTGTTCCGGTGCCATTCTGTAATAAATAATGTTTCAACTTGTTTATTTTTTGTTTGCTCTATTAATGTAGCTATTGATAATATATATTATGGCTTCTTTCTATGCTTTTATCCACCGTAGAGATCCAGTTCTGTAGCTCGGAGCCTACACTTTGTATTGGCCAAAACCAACTCAACATTAGCCCGAAATAAACATATTAAAACAAGTAAGAGGTTCTAGACGGGAGCTCCCGACTAGGGGATACCCTGAACCCTCTTCTTCCAACATCAAATGCATATAGATATTCTATTTTAGAAGCTATATGTCAAGTTTGGTGACTCTAGCTCTTATTATTTACCAAAATTACCCAAAAAACAGGATATCGGAATCGATTTTTATCGATTGCTTGGAAACGGAGAAAGTTATCGATTATCGGAAACAAACTCGATCTGCGCGGGAACTAGGAGCATCTACATCTAAGTCTCTAAGTCTCTCTTCTAGCTCTTATAGGTTCTGAGATCCTTGCGTTCATACATACGGACGGACAGACAGACAGACATGGCTAGATCGACTCGGCTATTGGTGCTGATCAAGAATATATATACTTTATGGGGTCGGAGATGCTTCCTTCTGCCTGTTACATACATTTGGATTTTGCACAAATACAATATACCCTTATACCCATTTTTAAAGGGTTCAGGGTATAAAAAAAACATACAGGAGGTCTATGTGTACTGTCATTTGAACGGAAAGTAATATTTTCATCCTTGTTGAATATACCATGTTTGTATATTATTATACCCAGATGGGGAAGTTAGGCTTAAAAAAAGTGTTATCTTGAAATATAAATTTTAAAAATTCTTAAAAAATTGGAAAAACTAAATCGAACTTTAAGGTGGTTTTAATATTTGTGTTTTAACTTTAATACATCAATTTACCTTCTCCTTATCTTTTGACAACTCTTCTTCCTTCATTTTGTCCAGATTGTTTTTTTCCTCGATTTTACGCTCTTTCAATGTTTTCAGCAATTTCCACTTACTGCTGCTTAAGTTGACCCCTGCGCTATTTACAGTACCCGCCGGGGACCCCGCGACACTCGAGGTCAATTCAAGGAGTGGAGGCGGAGTATTGTTAACTGTCGGTAACACATCGAGAGAATTGGTTATCCGAAAGTTGTCAGTCGGCAAACATACTGGCCCATGCGACCCACATACTACGCCAGTTAGGCTGTTGCGTTGGTCCCTTAAATCGGCTCCATGCACAGAATTTTCTTTATGACCCAAAAATGCATTTTTACTCAAAGACAGATCATCTGCTATTTCGTCCTCAACCAAGTCCACATCATCACTCAATGCAGCTGGCGTATCAGGCCCTGATGTGACACTGGAAGACTCGTGCACGATATCCAATTCGATGGAATACTCGTCCATTAATGTAACAGCATGAGCCTGTCGATCGAGCAGGGCTTTTAACCCGTTTCCACTAGAAGATCTCAGTTTTTGTTTGTATTCGTATTCATCCTCAGACGAGTATGAGGAACTTGATACCAGTTGCGAGTCGATAGGAACGATGTCATGTTCGGCTGCGCGAGGATGTGCCCCCTTTCCTCTTTCGCGCCTCTTCTTTTTGAAACGTTTGAGTTGTTTTTCCGACACCGATGCATCTGCAGCTGGGAAAGTTTCGGTGTGATGTAATGTCGAGGCTTGGCCAATGTTATGTGAGTCTCGGAACACTGGTAGCTCCTTGTTAGCATCTTTGCCAGGTCCGTTCGTCTCCAGATCGGAGCTTGGTATCTGATATTCGTTATTAACATCTTGCCAAGCGCTATGCATATCCAAGACTTTAACCAACTTTTCACCACCAAGCGAAGGTTTTTGCTTGCTCAAAAGTTCAAATTCCCTGCCCTCAGTAGGTGCATTAGTGATGTCAGCGATGCCAGGCCCGTTATTGACATCACTCTCATTAGTTCCAGCCATATCGGGTTCCATCTTAACTACGCACCTGAGCTCGTTCAGCACCTGAGACATCTTGTGCTTAACGCTATCATCCGGTACATAGTCGGTCTGAGCAAGTGCATTCTTTTCCGAATCCGTATAATAAATACTGTTACCCTCAACACCACTCATGGCTAACTGACCAATCTGCGTAAATAGCACTTCGTTGTCGGGATGCTGCTCAAAGCCATCCGGGTCTGGTGCTACCGCTGCCGCAGCGGCTGCTTGAGCCTCAGTCCGCTCTTTCTCAAGTTCCTCAAGTTGGCGCAATTCGTAGCAAAAGTACTCGTCGTCCGTGTCAATGCTGTCCTCAGTGCTCTGACGTCGAGACGAGGAAAGTGTGCGCCCGGAATGTTGGCTGCGATTGTCATCGTCATCCCTCAAGCTATAGCAGAGACTGTTTGGAATGTCTAACGATTGTTGTGTGGCCAAAACTGTTCCCCGCCCAAGCTGCGGCAGCCCATTTAAGTGGGTTATCGTAGTGCTCGTTGTAGTTGGGATTTTCTCTACAGACTTCACACTGCACTCCTTGTCATCGTCATAAACTAGGTTGGATTTTTGTACATTATTTGAAATGCCTGGAAATGCTTGTGGCATGCTAGCCTCATGGGGCGTTTGAGTGTTAGAAATTTCATTGGTTTCAACAAATATTTCTGGCACTTGGTCACAGTTGTTGAATTGTTGCATTGAATCGAATGTCTGATCCAACTGAAGATCGTCCCCCGTTGAGAGGGGCATGGGCATCGGTATTGATGGCGATGCGGCTGTTGTCGATTGAATTCTCTTTAGGTCACCGACAACGGCGAATAAATTATTCACCATATTTACTTGCAAACTACTATCAGGCGTGTCTTCATAATAATTATCGTCCCGATTTTCGGTTGCTGTAGTAGGATCATAGTTATCATCGTTATCAGAGTGGACCGACAAGTCTTGGACTGCCAACTGCTGATTGGCCTCAAACTCGCTGGTCGCTGAGTCATCGTTGTCGGAGGATGTTAAGTTTGGGACTTCTATTTCGGTATCTGAGATGCTAGATCCGTGGCGCAGACTAAAGCTGTGCCGCTTATACGATTTAGCCTTCTGCATTAAACTATTCATTTTGGTCGAAAACGAGCGATTCTTTTGCTTATGAGTTCGAACTGGGTTCGAACAATCTGGCGAAATCCGTCCAGAAGGGGTAGACGTAGCTCGTTGTATTATTCGCATCGGCAACTTTTGAATACGTTTCGATAGCTCAAAATTACTATGAACGCTGCCGTGGGACCGTATGTGAGCAGAGGCTGTAACAAACGGATACGAGCCTGCCTGGCCACGCACTTGCATCTGTGAGCCCTTTGTCTGCACATCTCCACTGGGTAGGGAGTGGGATCGGTTGTACCTTATCGGTCGCTTCAATTTCAAATTACCTGGTAGTAGGTTGGTAAGCTTGTTCCACACTTTGGGTGATTTCGATTCGACTGGCTGCATCCGGATTTGCTGGTTACCGTTGCTACAGATATTGGTCGATGATTGAGATGTGGACTGAAATTTCATCTTAGTTGGATAAGAATTCACAGATTGTTGATGAGCCGATGGCCTATCGCACGGCCCATCTAAATTTGGATGGCGGAAACGTTCGTACTGATCAAAGCCCATATAGTCTAAATTATTGCTGCTGTTATAGTCGGCGATGCCGTTGAATGTAGGATAATAAACTAGTCGATCCGTTAGGTGAGGCTTACGAGTTTGATCAATATCAGTTTCCAGATAACCAGATAACTTGGACATACGAACCTGACCCGATTGCGTATTGCCACTCGCCGACAAATCTCTTTTGGATTCATCCAGTTTCACAGATAAGCTCTGTGGTATTTCATTCTTTAAAATATCCGGTATACGATTTGCGCTAATCGTTGTTTTTGAATTCATATTGATACTGTCCAAAAATCGATCAGCGCTTTGCTGTACCTGAGACGATGCTTCTAGCTGCTGTTGATCCCATTCAAGCATTTCATCAATTGTGCAAATGGTTTCATTGTCATTTGGGTTTGCCTCAGATGGCAGCACATCAAACATAGATTTATTTTCATACACTGAACAAATCGGAATATTTTTCGATAGCTCATGTATATAATTAAGATTTTCTTCCGAAAACACATAGGCAGTGCCTAATTCAGAATGTTGATTTTGCTGTTGCTCCTGGAATATATTGATGTTGGACTCAGCGTCAATATTGATTACTTTATCAGCGATTATAGCGCTTTTGGAGTTAACGTCTGGACCCGCTTGCAAGTCCAGCATCATCTGAATCATATTCATGGTAATATCATTGTATTTGTTAAAAGATGAGCTTCCATTATGAATATTTAGAGGCACGGATCCGGGTGAATTTGGTGACCAGCCACTCATTGAAGATAGCCCAGAGTCTGACTTGGCCTGCCGTGACGGGGATTTGAGAGGCTGTGGTTGTTGTTGTTGCTGTAACACCTGTTTTGCATGCGCTTCTGCACTAAAAGGATTAACAGATATGTCTAAAATATCATCGAATCCGTTGTCATTGGGAGCTGGTGGTGGAGGACTTGTTCCACTAGGCCCCAGTAGAATATCATCTAAGTCAGCGGAAGCTTTGTGTTTCTCTGGATTTTGAAGGTGTAACAGAAACAACATACTATTGTGGCGTTCGAGACTTTTCTTTAGGGATCTAATGTACTCATCCTGATTGTAAATATTTGTTGAACTTGAGGCTTTCTCAACAATGCTGAAAATTTGCCTATGTCCTGGACTTAACAATATTTGAGGACTGACACTGCGACTGGTGGGTTGATGATTATGACTATATTCGCTATCTTCACCTATAAAATTATCAACATCCAGTATACGGCTCTTTGTTATTTTTTCAATATTTTTTTTGCGATTTATTTCAATCTCTTGAGTCTCCAGCAGTTTCAATTGCTCATCTAGATCTGAGTTATTTCGTAGCAGGTGGGCACTATATTCATTTGTCATAGAAGTTTCTCTCAAGTTTACTTGGCAATTGTTTCGGTGAATTAAATGCTGTGGGATATTTGTACTTGTACTTGAAGTTGTACTTGGGTTTGCACTTGTACTTGGGGTATTTATATATTTGGTATTTGTTATTTTGTATTCTTCAAACGAATTGCCGACTAACTTCTTTAGAGTATCGATATTCTTATTAAATTTCTTCATGACAAGATCAAACTTTTCATCCACTTCCATGACGCGCAGACGTCGCAGCTCTTCAGCCATAGTGACAGGGTTTAACAACAATAGTGTTAGATTCTTGTCAACCTGATTGAGTTTCTCAAAAAATGTCTGCTCAGATCTAATTGTCTGCCGGAGCTTAAGGATTTGAGATGCAGATAATGATTGCAAGTCACCTATTTTATTTATTTCTCTTATTATAATGTCAGTCATGCAATCTAGAATAGCAATATTCTGGTCATTAAGACTGCCGGCATCTTTCGAAGATGAGGAGTTTGGTGACCGTCGATTGTCTCTATCGGATTGCGCTTGTGTCAAGCGATTGGTACTCGGCTTGTTGGAAAATATTGCTTCCTCCTTATTTAAGAAGTGTTGATGAGACTTGGCATAATCAATATTTGGGTTATCTCTGCTACTAGACGCCTGGGCAAGTATGCTTTTCAAATTATTGATCATATCCATTTCGTTCTTATGATGTTTCTTTTTTCGATGTTTTCGTAACTCTTTACCCTTATATGTGTTCTCAAAAGCTGCAGGTCTCTGTATTCCAACGATTGATTTATCAACAGATGTAGTACATTCTGTAGTTTGTTTAAAATCTACATTTTTCATCTGCTCCTCTTTTCCCTTCAGGATCATCATCAGAGAAGATGTCGATTGGCCAGTATTTAAGGGCAACCCTGGGATATGCTCGTGAGTTATTTTTGCCTGCTGTAGCAGCCGCTCCATATTGGATATTTCTGTAGTTAAATTATTCTCTCGATACGCTTCATTAAGTTTTTTGTAAAAATTTTCGTTCATTTCACCATCGTCTGTCGCTTCCGGCTGCAAATTTAAATTTGTCCCTCCGGTATCTTCAATAGGTTCAATTTCGTTCCCTCCTTGACCGGTTTTAACGGCGGCTAATCGAAAAAACTGCACCTCTTCGGTTAGTTCGCCGAGTTCCTTTGATGAAGTCAACGCATTAACATCGGATGCTTTCTGTCCCATTTCTTGTCCTCGTATTGACCTGACATGACGTAGGCTACCGTTTACTGAATGTCCAGCGGATGCGGACACGGAAGCGGAAGCGGAAGCCACTTGTTCGAGTACCCGCTGTCCATTCAAAAACTCCTGCAATAGTTCAGCGCGCGCATTGTTCGCCATAATCTGTTGCTGCTCGTACATTAGTAAATCCGATTCGGAATAAAGCTTTCCTCGGGTTCGTATATGATGTGCGCTAAGACCATCTGCACCGCCTGCTACATTCTTAAGCCACGAGCACTCATGTTCTTCTATATCGAGTTGCTTATCATCCCTAGCCTGTTCCACACCACTATCCTTTAAGTTAATCCCTGACGATCCGTTGTTGAACTGCAAAAACAGGTCATCGCTGTTATTATCCGTCTCTAAGACATACGTTGCATCATTAAAATATAAGTCGCCAGGAATGGTATGTCCATGCTCATGGCCATCTATGATTAACTCTAAGCTGTTCATCTGGGTTTTCGCCCCATGGCAGTGTTTCAATTCCTCTAGTTTATGGCGAAAATCTTGTTTTTGGGACTTTGACTCCAAGATATCAATATTGGCATCCGATTCCAGTTCCATTGGTAAGAGCTGATTATCTACCAAAAACGAAGCAAACGGAGAATTGGCATCTAAGTCAATTTCTTGGTGTTGTTGTTGTTGCTTTGCCGCAGCGATGAGACCCATTAGATTGCCCATCACTGATTGTTGCTCCACGGATATGTTCTCCAATTTTTCTAACCTTATCCAAATCTTACCGTACTCATTGGAGAGTAAGTCAAGTGCTCGCCAAGCAAACTTCAGCTCTGTCTCAAGCAAACTAATGCGCGTCGCTATCTTATCCATATAATCGGATATAATATAGTCCGAGTGCTGCTGCGAATTGTATAGCTGGCATAATTGCTGTTCGCTTCTAATGGACGCCATACTGCCGTTATTCAGGTTGGATCTAGACATAGATATCGGCATGCTATCAGTGACTAAACTCAACTGAGATTTATTAAGTGCCCGTGGCGTAAAGCATTTTGCCTGTTGCTGCTGAAGCTCCGTGTGTTGCAAGAAACTTTTCGCCAGTGTCTGTGCCTGTGACTGCTGCTGTTGATGCTTAAACTGCTGGAGGGGATGCTGCTGATGTCGGCTCTGCAGCTCCGTGTGTTGCAAAGATGTTGTCGCCAGTGTGTTTGCCTGTGCCTGCTGTGACTCCAGTTGATGCTTAAGCTGCTCTTTGATCTTAAACTGACTGTAAAGAGCATTTGCGGCAACGCTGTAAGGTTGCGACTGCGTCACCGACTGTAAATCAATTTTGGCTTCAGCTCCACTTAGATTCAATGACGAAGTAGCCGAAGGCATCGCAAAATTTGACTGCATTCCCTGATCCTCCATGTGTTTTTCCGTAAATAGCGCTGCTGGCAATAAGTCCGTACACATGGATTCTCCAAAAGCCGCCTCAAAATTGGATGGCCTGGGAGATGTTGATGTTGACGGATCAATAGACATCACAGCAATCGGAATGGCTGTTTTCAAACGCCAGTTACTTGCTAAATATTTTGTACTTCAAGAAACATTCTTCTACAGAATCATGATACACACATACATACCAAAAATGTCGAGGTAATTACTTTAAATTGAAGATATACCCTTTAAACAATAAGCGCCAAGTGTCACCAATTAATCAAATTCAATAATACCTTGTACATGGAATGAAAAACGTTTTAATCCTTTTTTAGAAGGCCCTAAACACGAGACCAAAAACCGATTCGGTTTGAAAGGAATATTTCAGCACATTTCGACTCATTTGCGTTTAGGTGTTTTTAATTTGGCATGAGTCCGAAACGATTTCGAAGCTTCTGCATTCCTTTTCAATACTAATTGTCAGCTGCTACCCAGCTGTTTTCCTCTAATTGTGTTTCGTGATAAAAAATTTATTGTTAATGCCGGCCCCATGATATTTTTTGTACTAACAGCTTATTATTAGGAACAGATCAGCTACATAGATAGATATAATAGAAGCACTATTCTAATGAATTATGGCACAAGAAATTTTTGGCTGACAAAAACATACGTATTTTAGCTTATTTCGCTAATTATTTCCGATTCCGACAGCTCAAATGCAAAACGCCAAGATTTCTTCGGAATCGACATTATAAGCACCAATCCAATTTAATTCCGAAAAGGAAAGGACCGTAAGTATTTACTAAAAGTTCTTTTGGTTAATGTTTACATTCGAAAAGCTTATTGTTTGCCTTTGTGAAATCGTGGAAAATCAGTGTTTTAGAAAAAGAAGAACATGTTTGCTAATCATGGTACTATAACCGACTTCGAACGACATACCTTTCTGCATAAGAGTGTCAAAATGTAAATATCTTTAAGCCGTGTGTATACGTGAATAAGCATACAATTAAATTTGTTCTCATTGGTCAAAAATAACCGCCTATCGGCAGAAGCAATTGGGTATCATAATATTTGAGAAGCATAATTATTGAAAAATTTTACTAATTTGTGTTCATGTGTACAGAATGTATATATGTACATATATGTATGTTCGTATGTCTCTTCGCTTGCTCGCGGATTCTTTCATGTGACACAATTAAACGATTTATATATGTAAATACATTAGTATGTATAACATTGTCTACACGTATTCGGCTTAATTTGAGTCGGCCGTTTTGGTTTGGCTTTCATTAATACAGTATTGTATCGTAAACTCTTAAATGTCTTTTAATTGGTCTTGTCTCGGTGAATCAATGTTGTCGCTAATATTTTATTATATTGCTGCCTATAATCACTTTCGATACAATTTTTATTTTAAGATTACTACTTAATCCTTCAAATATGAACAATGCTGCTGAATTGATGTGAATTGGAAAACGCTGAAAAGTATACTACTCTTGGTAAACTCTGCTCCTTAATGGAATATACATACATATTCTCTCTCATATTCGCTCTCTTGGATGAGTGTGTGTGTGTGTCAGGTAAGTGCATGATTGCGATTCCCACTGAACTTAGACTAGTTATACATAGGGAGTGCGACAGTCACAACGGGAGTGCATAAAAGTCGTCTGTATTCAACTGAATACACACATGACGTGTTTGACACTATAAAACAGCACGAGAGAGAAAATGTGACAGCCGCACTTGGGAGTCGATTTAGTAGTGCGCATGCGATATTCCAAACAGCTTGAAATTATTGCGCGGGAGTTGCTTGGTAAAGCTTTCGAAAGCTTTACACATACAGAGAGAGCCTTTCCTGAGGTTGCATTGAGTGTTAACGTGTTTGATAAGGACTGTGGTTGCTCGGTATGCTAAACAATTTTGAGTAAAAGCTCATGCCCGAACTTGCGTCTCTCCATTTTAAATACTCAATGGGTAAATATCATCACTAACCAAACAACATATAGACTGGACATCACATAGAAACAACGTTGGCACTAAAAGTATCGGAGGCATCTGGTCCAAACTCCCGAGTAAGGGAGTAAGATATACATATGATGTATTTTCGAACCGCCTACTCTACAGGAAAGTGCTTGGCGCACTCTCTTCCATATGATTTGTGCGATAAAACGGCAACGCTATTAACTTTTATCTCACTCGCACTTACTCTCAGCTCTCAATGCTCTCTCTATGTTTAGGGATCGTTTAAATGTTTGTGTGTGTGTATTTGTCCGACCAGCAAAACTGCGCACAAATTCAATTTTTCCCAAATGCTGAGGCATTTCTACCCTTTAAAAGGCACGAGTAATATGAAATAGAGAATGGGTTTGCCACGTCGATGGGTAACTCTTGCATTTTAGCTCGCTATCGTTGGTAAGGGTACCCAAGCGTTGCCATGTGTGCATTTAAAATATTTTGGACTCGCTATTCACACATACTTGGATATTTTGTATATGAATAGAAGCATTTATGCGCTTTTAACAAGATTTTGTGTTTTTCATTTCTATGTGTGTGTCTATGTTTATAGGTCGAAAATAAGAAATCCCTAAATCTTGTTAAATTTGCATCGGGGACAGGTCGGCAGGGAAGCAACAGGCAAGCGCATAAATGCTTTTAGTCATATACAAAATATGCAAGTGTAAGCGTCTGGCAATCTCACCCCATTGCCATTCACAGCGAATCGAAAAGAAAAAGCAGCAAGCCAATAAAGAAGAAGGACGGACGCTTATTAAGAATCTAAGAATCTTTGTAAAGTTAACGCATTAAACTATTCTATCTTTACTTATGTTTGTATAAGCGTATCTCACTCAGTCGACCTGACCAATTCTTACAGTTCAGAAGTGTTCGCCTACACGCATATACAAACACATGCAGAGATGAAACGCATAAAAGTCTGGATGAGAAGTTTGCATTGGGATATGTTCCCAAAGGTCTAAGTGACAAAGATTACTGCAAGCTGGGATAAGATCCCTCAATCTTAGCGTCAGACTGTTTCATAAGTTGGAATACGTTTCCTGCAGCGTCGGTGTGTATAACAAACCAATCCCCGGTTGGAGCCTCAAATTTTGCAATTGCCCTCTACGTCTGTTCAGACACCTACGACTTTCTTGTCCCTTCCTAGCAACTTGGATGTATCTCCAATATTGTCTTTATCGCCTTCTCCAAGCGACTGTCCAATTACCCCTGTTTCAACCCCTGTACTAGTCCCAGTAGAGCCCGTACCTGATCCCGTCCCAATTAATCAAACTGCCTCAGCCCCGTCAGCTCCTGGCCGCAAAGGTAGACCTGCGCGCAATCTTGCCCAGATTGTTAAAAACAATCATTGTGCCTCGTTAGCTCCTCCAACTCCTCTATTACCTACAGCCCCATCAGCGCCTACTTTAACGGTAGTTGCCCTCGTAGGCAAGTTTTTGTGTCTCGACTTTCGTCGGACACCGCTTCTGAGTCATTGGCAGCCTATATTGCTAGCTTATGCCTATATCTTTACTTATGTTTGTATAAGCGTATCTCACTCAGTCGACCTGACCAATTCTTACAGTTCAGAAGTGTTCGCCTACACGCATATACAAACACATGCAGAGATGAAACGCATAAAAGTCTGGATGAGAAGTTTGCATTGGGATATGTTCCCAAAGGTCTAAGTGACAAAGATTACTGCAAGCTGGGATAAGATCCCTCAATCTTAGCGTCAGACTGTTTCATAAGTTGGAATACGTTTCCTGCAGCGTCGGTGTGTATAACAAACCAATCCCCGGTTGGAGCCTCAAATTTTGCAATTGCCCTCTACGTCTGTTCAGACACCTACGACTTTCTTGTCCCTTCCTAGCAACTTGGATGTATCTCCAATATTGTCTTTATCGCCTTCTCCAAGCGACTGTCCAATTACCCCTGTTTCAACCCCTGTACTAGTCCCAGTAGAGCCCGTACCTGATCCCGTCCCAATTAATCAAACTGCCTCAGCCCCGTCAGCTCCTGGCCGCAAAGGTAGACCTGCGCGCAATCTTGCCCAGATTGTTAAAAACAATCATTGTGCCTCGTTAGCTCCTCCAACTCCTCTATTACCTACAGCCCCATCAGCGCCTACTTTAACGGTAGTTGCCCTCGTAGGCAAGTTTTTGTGTCTCGACTTTCGTCGGACACCGCTTCTGAGTCATTGGCAGCCTATATTGCTAGCAAATATTCTGCTACCGTGTCAATAACCAAATTTAATTTCTCCACCCCTCGTGAAATATCATCATTCTAAATAAATGTTTCATATGATATGTTCCCAACCATTTGTGATCCAAAATTTTGCCCATCACACATGATTGCGTAACCAGCGTAACCAGCCTGTCACCCTTCCAGTCCCTTCAATACAGGGTACCATTTCTGCCCCAAAAAACTAGCTTCATCTTCTGACCAAATCTTTATTCATTATCAGAATGTCAGAGGTCTCATTTCAAAGCTTAAACATCTTTTCATGGCCAGCACTTCCTTCGATTCGGATATAATAGCATTTTTAGAAACATGGTTAAACTCAACCATATCTGATTTTGAGATTTTACCGAATAACTTTATTTTGTTTAGAAATGATCGGCCGACTCGAGGTGGTAGGGTGTTAATTGCCGTTAAGGCCACTCTCTATTCTGAACTATTCTGTTTTAGTACGCTTACTGACGCTGAGATTGTCTCAGTTAAGGTGTCTTTTCCTACACGGAATATCTATGTAACATGCTCTTATGTCCCACCTTCTTCTGATATTCAAGTTTATATGAATCATATTACTTGTATTAAAGAAGTTTCTTCACACGTGCGTGATAATGACCTATTAATGGTGTTGGTGTTTTAATTTGCCGAACATCTCTTGGTCATTATTCACTGCTGAAAATTATCTAGTGCCCACAGCACAGCACGATTTTATAGACTGCATGCTTGATCTTTCGTTGTTTCAAATCAATTCAATTTCTAATCATATGAATAGAACACTTGACCTTGTATTTGTTAACGACTACCTTATTTCTAATGTGTCTAGGTCCCCTCCTTTATCTCTTCCTGAGGATGTCTATCATCCAACTTTAGAGATTGCAATGCTAAATTGTAATCCTTTCATTTCGTGCTCATCAGCCAATAAGCCCCGCTATTGCTTTCGCAAAGGAAATTATTCTTTGCTGAATCAGCTTATTTATTCAACCGGTTGGTCTTTCTTATATGACTCAGTTGATATGAATACAGCCATTAATTTTTTTTATATCAACCTAAACTCCCTCTTAGATGTGTGTATTCCTAAGTCAATTCCTTCGACTACCTTGTCAAAACCACCCTGGTTTACTTCCAGATTATCACATCTAAAAAATGTAAAATCCAAATATTTTAAAAAGTTTAAAAAGTCTGGTTCGTGTACAGACTTGGCTAAATATTCCATAGCCAAGTCGAACTTCTTTCTTCTTAATTCTCAATGCTATAAGAATTATCTAACTCGTTGTAAAAGGCAATTCGCCCGAAATCCGAGACAGTTTTATAATTTTGTAAACTTGAAGCGTAAATCTTCAAGTCTTTTTTTCTTGGGATGGATAAAGCTAGCAATGACACTGATTCTGCTAACCTCTTTGCTAATTTTTTCCAATCAACTTACTCTTCAGTCTGTCCTAATACTAATTCTTACCCTTATACTATTTCTTCCGCTAGTTCTATACCTCCCCCCATTATTTCACACTCCTCTCGCCTATTAGCTATAAACTCTTTAAAATCTTCTTACTCTCGTGGGCCGGACAATATTCCTAGTTGTCTACTCAAGGAGTGTAGTTCTTCCCTTTTTTATACATTGCTAAAGCTTTTTAATCTATTCCTTGAAACTTCTGTCTTTCCATCTCTTTGGAAAGAATCTTATATCATTCCTCTTCACAAGAAAGGTGGGAAGTCTGATATACAAAATTACAGGGGCATTGCAAAACTGTCCGCTATTCCTAAATTATTTGAAAAAATAATCACTTCGAATTTGCAGCATTTCTGCAAATCAGTTGTTTCCCCTGTTCAACATGGATTCGTAAAGAATCGGTCAACTACGACCAATCTGCTTGAGTTTACTTCCTTGGTAAATGATGCTTTCCTTTCGAAAATGCAAACTGATGTCATTTACACTGACTTCAGTAAGGCGTTTGACTCTGTGCACCATGACATTTTACTTTTTAAGCTTGACCGAATAGGTTTCCCTCTGTCCCTTTTACTTTGGATTAATTCTTATTTAAAAGGTATGACCCAAAGAGTAATACTGAGGTTGACTACCTCTAAAAGGGTTCAAGTTACTTCTGGTGTTCCTCAAGGTAGTCATCTTGGACCTTTACTCTTTACTCTTTTTATAAATGATTTTCCCTCTGTTATATCACATGCCCGTGTACTCATGTATGCAGTCGATGTGAAACTTTTTCTATCATACACTAACCCCCTACATCATTCTCGTCTACAAGACGATTTGAAC